ATTAAATAATACTAAAAAACCATAAATTAATTGTTATAAATTATGGTTTTGTTGAAGGTTTGCGTAAAGAATATATATTTAATATTTTACGAAACGTTGACATTATTTACCATATGAACAAATACAATTATGAGAGATTTATTTATTACGAACATAAACAGGATACAGTAACTCATCAATTATTATCGCCGGCCTTATAAAAAGCATTGAATTTTGTGGACATAGATTTTAAATTATAATTATTTTATTTATATTGTTTACTAAACACATTAATAGTGTATTACAAATTTAATTTGTATTTGTATCTGTGAATTTTTACATTGTAGTTTAAGCCGATATTTTAGATTAATTACATTTTTTAAAAATTTTAAGAAGTATCCTGTCGTTATACCATCTCTGGTGTTTTATAGGAGAACATTTATTAAAAATTATATAACTAAACTATGTATTTCTATAAATAAATTTTGATTTCAATATTTTTGATTTTCATCTACCCGTTAACAAGATATTCCACGTTTCAGTATAGGCCCCCATGTGTTGTTGTCAACGGGTAAATAGGTTGTTCTATTTTTGAGCAGTTAAAATATATTATACGGAGTGTAACTAGACCATTTGACATATTTACATGTGTGTGGGCGACTGTTGCAGGTGAGAATTTGGGAAGATAGAGGGGAAATGTAATGTATAACTAAACGCGTAAAACGGTAACTGTTTCATCCCTAAAAATTACGATAATATATCATATGAGAACACGGAAGATTAGAAAGATATCCTAGGATAATGGAGTCGAGTGCAGTCACTGTTATAGATAATTTAATGCATAACTGAAAGCAATGTTAAACCATTGCTCATGTTTTTTTCTAAAACTCTCGTCAAGTCAATCAAGTCAACTATGCGAAGCTTTGTCAACTATATATATATATATATTTACACGAATTTGAAATAACATAATCGGTAATATAGCACATCGCTATAAATATTTACGGTTTAAACAAACGGTTCCCAACCGTTTCGAGACTATTACCCTTAAAAATTATAGATATTGACAAATATCACACAAACAAAGTTTTTTAAAAAAACTGTTTCAACGGTAGTAAACATACTGATGCAGATTTAATAATATTAGATATATTAAATAAGTACAAAAAATAAAAATAAAACTAGTTAGGTTAGGTACTGATTAACCCCAGGTTGGCAACCGCCGGATCAACCTATGCTACCCTTTGGGTTATTTTTTAATTATTTTGCAAAATGACCACCTCAATGCAACAATTAGATACAATTAATTTTTTGAAAAGGTGCTAAACTGGATACCGAGTATCAAAATGTCTTGAAAAAAAGATTATTTCTTCTTTTCGATTCTGAATAGTGCGAAGAAGCTTATAGTTTTTATAAAGATAATAATTTTCTTCTTTTATCTGTGCACAACTTTTCTATTGAGTTCTGAGCATTTAAGAGGTGCGTGACATTTTTTAATTTAGTTTTTAATTTTATTTGCTAGGTATTATATTTATTTACCTGTGAACTAAATATTATCCGTTATTTGAAGAAAAAACATCACAGCAAGAATTATGTATTTACTATTACAACAATTGTGATAGGTATGTATAATTTTAGCTTGAATGGTTTTTAGCAAAGATAACATTGAAATAGACTTACGAAAAAAAAAAAAAACAATAATTGTTTTATATATTTGTATATGTGGATATATTTTTAACCAAACATTGAATATTATAATTTTTAATAAATCATAAAAAAAAATGCATATTTCTAATCATATATAAATTAAATATACTAAATTTTATAACAATAATAATTAGTCGTATAATATAATAACATAACATAGAAAATGTATTGATTTAAGAATGTGTTTGTGATCGTAATCAAGATATGGAAAAGAAATTCGTTGCCCAAAAGAGATTCAAGTGATAGAGATTCATTATAAAATTAAAATAGAGATAATTAATAATGTTTAATTATATTTTCGTCATTTCAATCGTTTATTAATAACTTAGTATCCACTATTGGGCGGAGAAGAATCCGTTTAGAAAGGAGGAGGATCTTGTCCAGGAGGAAGAGCAGGAGAAGGACCAGTTTGAGGATAAAGAGGAGAAGGAGGTCAACATTCACAAGATTCACCATCTGGAGTTGCTGGTTGTCCGTTACCGCAAATTGAGGGCGTCTCCGTGATTAGTTTTGGAAAACAGCCTGGTGAACAAGGTGGTGTTTTTTGCGAATTTATTGAGAGTACACAGAATAATAAAACACAACATAAGGGAAATATTACAAAGTTTTGGGACTTCATTTTCATACTTGCTAGTAGAAAATGTAAGATCTCACTCAATCTCTGTTGATATTTTTATAGTTAAATCGGCATCAACTTGAACGGATTTTGAAAAATGTAGGCTTATTTTCGTCGTGATGTTTTGAAGACATTATAATCGACAGTTTTTTACTATTACTAATTTCTGTATTATTGTATAAAACAATACTTACAATACAATAATAATAATGTGGATTTCACGTACATTTTGACATTTATATCGTAAAATGTATATTTTTCCCGGGTTTTCTCATTTATTAAGAAAACTTCTGAAAAAATCGAAAAATGAACTCCCTAGAGTATCTCTGTACACGGATTTCCTTTTATGAAAGGCGTTTCACTTAAAAATCGGAGATTTCTGGTAGAAAAGTTGCGCACAGATAAAAAATAAAAATAAAATAAACATCTTTGTATAACCATAAGCTTCTTCGTTCCACTCAGGATCTAAAAGAAAACACGTCGTTCATATAAAACTGTGCATAAGGAGGAAAAACACACATTTACGGTAGTGAGCTTTGTGATCGATAATATCAAGTAATCCGTAGAAGATGATATGGATAAAGGCATTTTCGCTGAAGAAGGAACCTCCTCCTTTCCGATAATGTTAATGCCTTAAGTACAGTATAGCATGGTCACCATTGAGAAATTCACCACATAGTATATGTCTGTAAAGTAACATTTAGTTTGGAAATATCAGTTTTCAGTGATATTATAATAAACCCACTTCCCTATAACCTATATAATATACTCATCAGTCATCACACAACAGTCGTCGATGCTTTCAATAAAAATGTAAAAATCAAAATTCGCCTTGTTTACCTATACATACTATCAGCTATTCTCGTATGAAAAATATTTGGAAAACTTGTCGAAAAATAGATAATATTTTAATCTAAACAAAATAAATCACCTGTATTATACCCGAATGGAATTACGTGATTTTTACATAGTCATGACGTTGTAATTATTACCAACACATTTATGGTGTTTGTATCGATACAAAGATTTTAAAACGTGGTATGTACGAGTAAATAGGACCTAGTCGATAGATACAACAATATAAGTACCCACACTAAACAATAATCGAAACGTCAAAAACAAAATAAAAATAAATATTATATTACTGATAATATATAGAGAATATAGGTTAGGTTATATATAGAATATTATGAGTTTTTTCCTCCGAACATGCTTTATCAGTGTTGTTTCACGTATGATGTATTCATCAGGGTACTTATTTGAATTTAATGGACGAGTAAGGAGCCGTCCACAATGGTACGTTTTTTGAATTCATCTCATCCCATCTGGTGACGCGCAACTAGGAAATAAACTGGCAATTACAAGTGTCGCGTTCGATATTATAACGTCCGACATTTCATTAGTATATTGTTAACGGTATAACATTGTAGGCGATAATATTTATTGCAATATAGAACGGTGAAATATCATATTGACGTGTTGGCGTGTTGCATTAACTTTCCAAACGACGATATTAACGAACAATTAACATTACAGCCAGAATAATTATGTCTACAGCATAAGTAAAAATTGTAATAGGTAATCATAGGTTAAGCCTGGATAAATTTTACCAAAGGAAATTAAATATATTT